CACTGTGATAGTCTCGCCAAACTCAGACTTCGGTACTTATTCACTGCCTACCCACTTATAACAAAATTAGGCAACAAAGGATGCAATGACGTAGTGACAAGCTACCAACCCATCTTTAAATCTAATCTAATCCTGTATGTTTTTCTATCTTGATGAGGATACTTTCTTATTATTATTTTGGATTGTAGTTTTGTTGGGATTTAAGTTCATTATTAGAGTTCTAGACTATTAGCCAGCGATTCTTTTTCCACTTACACTTTATTGCTTAGTAATATATATTTTTAAATACTTTAAGTAGTTAAGTACTCAAACTGAACATAATTTCATAGATGTTATGGAAGAACACATTACATGCAAAAGTATTTCCACAATTGTGAGTTAAATCGGAGTATAAAGAATTCAATTTTAATCTCGTCAATATGCAATACTTAAATACACGAATTATGTACTCAGTCGTTTCTGAAAAACATATTTAAATAAACACTTAACTTAAGTTCATCCAGAGAACTTACTTCAAGCAATAAAGTAGCTGAAATTAAGATTTCAATAAATAACATAAAATACTCTTATTTGAAAAAAAGAAAATAATTTAAACTTAAAAATATTTACAAAATGAGTGCTTAAATGCTAGCAGATCGAAAACGGCTACCTGTGATTACCAAAATAAAGTAACACATGCCACCTTAGCACGGCCCACACAAAAACGACGTCAAAGTTAATCCATGAACACATGCAGTAACGCAAGGCAACACTCGTCCATCCAAAACCCAAACGGAACAGTCGAACAAAAAAGACTACATTTGCTCTCTTCGATGTAAAATTGTAAGAAGATTTTAAAATATCAATTCGATTGACAGCACTCATAAATTTTTTTAAGAGATTTCAGCGGTACGACGGACACACTAACAAGCGGGCGGATCCATCAACAGTGGAGAAGATATACGGACATTTGTTGCAATTGTAACGAGCTGATGCATGCTCGCCGGTTCACTAGCTTGCAGGGCGAACACTGGCAACAATACTGGCTGCCTGTAAATCGAACTATTGTTGCTGCATTATTCCTGTACTGAATGGAATTAAGTGGTGTCATGACAGACAACATCTGTGTGCGCCCATTGTTGTCGTCTGCCTAAGGTAAAAAGAAAAAAATTAAACAATAAAATAAAATAATATGATAAAATATATGATAAAATAAAATTGTAATAAAAAACGGAATTTTTGGATGCACTCAATTTGAGTTTAATGCTTTACATCTCGAGCAGTGGACGCAGTTATGTTTATTAGGATACTTTCATGACAACTAATAGTACGAGTATTTAAGTGGCATTTTATTTCCTTCACATTATTACGAATAAATGGTATAGAAGTCGCAATAAATTGCGATAGTAGATATCAATGATTCCGAATGGATTGGCTGCTAAAACAAAGCTGTTACAATGGAAAATTCCAAAACAATTTACAAAATTAATCTAAAGAAATCTAATTTGAGAATGGAAGAGATAACCATGTCATATATATCACAAGAATGTGTAGGATTATACTGCATATGAAGATTTGATCAAAATAAATCCGTCAGCAGTATAGGTTCTGTATTGGTTAGAGTGGATCAACAGTTGCAGTGTTTTAATAACTCTTTGCTGTGAAATAAAAAAGTTTTCCACATATGATATATAATAACACTATAATCTAATTCCGTCACTGTATTCTAGAAACAAATCGTTGTTGTTGTTGTGGTAACCCGTACGGATCTGGAAAGCAGATAAGATAAACCGACGAAATCATGGTTTAGAATGTAGATCGATAAGAATTGAGTGTGAATGGAGTGGTGGTATTAGGGAGTGGGAAGAATTGCAAATGGGTGGCATATAAAATAAAATCAACCTGGGTCAATACACAGAAACTTGGCCACTTCAATGAGGTGGGCCGAAAGGTCGTGTGGACTAGTTTGTTAATCTAGTTAGATCTGCTTGTAAATTCCCTTTGAGACTGGTGTGCAGCACTTGGTCGTCGTGATTGGTGGGTAGCACCGGAGACCCGGCTCTTCTTGGAACTTGAGACCAAATCATAATTATAAATTTTCCCTTATTTTAGCATAACACATTTATTTCAATACTTTTAAGGCCATAACTAAGATTTATGCGAAGACGGCAGCCTCATCATGCTATGGTAATACAACTGCCCATTATTTGTGCTTAAGTAAACTTTGGTGCACATGACTGCCACTCCAACCTTAGTATACCATTAAGATTTTGAATCATAATAAGAAGCTTTGGAGTTGTGTGAATACTGCTATGTGGTTTCGAAGTTAAATAATGCTACTGAATCATAGGAGAGGAGCTTCAGATTTTTAGAGTACAAAACGAATTTCGTTGGTAAATTAACTCCATACAGTTAAAATAATAAACTTTAGTCATTACTTTCTGGATCAAATCAGGGAATTAAAGCATGTCGATGTTGATAGATTTGGCATTATCAGAATTCTGGCTCTTCTCAAACCTCAAAAAATTATTTTTATTAATTAAAGAGGTTATTGTTGTTGTTAATAAGTATATTGTAAACCCTTCAGAAATTCATCATAGAGATGGAGCTCATAATTTTCAGGATTTGCAGGATATATAAATATAATCTTTATATTGAAAAATTAAATCATTGATGATGTAAAATTTTATTCCTTTTCGCAAATTTATTGAAGAAGCTAAATAACTATATAGCACAGTCTTGATGATATCTAATGACTAATGTTAGTATAGACATTTTTGGATATGTAGGTTCATCCGTCCTTCAGAAATAAAAGTGTTTGTAGAAAGCTTTAAGTTTTATTTGTGGGTAAAGTAATTTTATTTTTTAGAATATCTTACTATAGTTATATCCAAAATCTATGTAAATGACTTTTTGTTTCGATTTGAAGTTCG